GTGTGTGTGTGTGTGTGTGTGTGTGTGTGTGTGTGTGTTGGGGATTGAACCCTGGAGTGCTGTATCACTCAGCTACATTGCCAACTCTTTATTTTGAGACAGTCTCACTAAGTTTCTCAGGTCCTTGCTAACTTGTTGAGGCTGGCTTTGAACTTGCAATCTTGCCTCAGCTTCCCGAGTCGCTGGGATCACAATCATGAGCCACTGTGTCTAGTGTAAATAGTTATTTTTATCATTCTATAATTCTTTATTAGTTTTTATTGTTTGTAATTATTCTATAAAGAAAAACTCTTTCCCTTTTTATTATTTTATCACCTATAGTATGGTTCATACCAGCAACATCAGGAAAATACTCGATTATTTTCCATTTGTTAGTTTTCAGAAAACAGGATGCTGTCCTAGCAACTTTAAAAGTTGACTAATTTGTTTTTTTTAATTAATTTTAATATATTGATTATATTTTGGTTTATTCTAATTTCTATGCTATTTGATGTTTAAATTTTCCCAGTTTTGGCTGGTAAAAATCCTTTGGTTCCTGAGCTTTTGACCAAAATGCAATGAACATTGCTTTCTAGCACAAGAAGTTCCAGGTTCATTTTGTACATTTCCTTCCCCAGATATGAGACCAGCCTTTTCTCCTAGAAGTCTATTCCCTTTATTGGGAAATAGTACTTGGGGAATACATATACTAGGGTTGCCATTACTGTCCTCCCCAATTTTTGTCAATAGTGCTAGGAAATAAATATTTTTTAGAAATAGAGAAATATAAAATGAGCTCAGATTGATATATCCAATTTAAACACAGAATTATAAACTTTAAACTTCCTGATTTTATATTTGTTTCTCTTTTTTTTCTTGTTGTCCTAAAAATCTTGTTTCCTAGTAACATGAGTATAATTATTTGCACATGTGTGTGAAAACATGTGTGTGTATGTATATTATTTATGTGTACATGCAAATGTGTGTGAACACACACGAATAAATCATAAGAATACTAAATGCAGTTAAGATTATTTTAATGTTCTTTTTTTGTCCTAATGGTTATTTCTGTAGAGATTAGAGTAAAAATACCATGTTTTAAAGTCACTTGAAATTAGTTGTTGGATGTGCAGTTAGTTTGAAATGTGACTAAAGTTTATTGTCTTTTGTTTGCTTTTGATTTTGGGGGATTGATTTACAAGTTAGTTTTCTGTTTAACTCTTATGATTTCTTGTTAAACATATAAACAAGAATGCAAATGTATTTGTCATACTGCCTTTCTTATGTAAAGATAATATACTATGAATACTACTCTGTTTCACTAAGCAAGGCATCCTGGACAGCAGTCCATAGAAGCATATAGAGAGAAGGTCACTCCTTTCTCTATCTCTGTAGCATTTATTTATGTGGATATACAAATTTCCTTTCTTTTTTTCCTTTTCTTTCCTTTCTCCCTCCCTTCCCCCTCTTCCTTCTTTCCTTTTCTTTACTCTTTCTCTCTCTCTCTCTTTCTTTCTTTCTAACAAAAATTACAGCTATGAATTGTCTTGGGTATATATTACTTTTTATTTTATATTTGCTGTAATTTTTTAAAAGTAGGACTTCTGGGTCAAAGGATAAACGCACACACATACTTATAGATAGATATATAGATAGATAGATAGACATGTATTTTCAATTTTCCCTCCATAGGAATAATGGTTTCACTATCTACAAGCACTACATAGGGTGTCTAATTGTTTACTAAACAATCAACTTTCAGTCTTACTATACAGTAGTAAAAGCTAAAAGAGTTTATTATCAAAATTTTGGTAACTATCTTAGTATAGTTTCAATTTGCATTTCTCTTATTATGAATGAATTTTACATGCTTAAAGGCTATTTGCATATTTTTCCATGAATGAGAAGTTATTTTAAATTGCATTCAACTTTAGATAATACTTATTGAATTCTTGTTATGAAAGATGAATAAAGATGGGTGTTTCTGCTTTTCCATCTTTTCTGCTGTAATTCTGCTAGTCTGTCCACTGTGATCCCCTGGTGTCTTTGATGCTTCTCATGTTACTAATGCTTCATTTTTTGCTTCCATTTTTTTGACTTATATCTTGTTTTTTCCCCCTCACGCTGCCCTATTTTTTCTTTTGAATTTTGTAAT